TAAATAAAAACTGAGATTATCAGCAGATTCATTTATTTTCGCTAAGGTAGTTGCAAATCAATTTTGTAACCAACCAATTCATGGGCCAGAATTGGTTTCTTATTTGAATGGGTAAAGCTTATTAACTGCATGTCTATTTTTTAAGATTCTACTGTGTCATGTCAACACCACATGCTTGTAATTGGATACAGATATCCCTGTAAGTGCAAATAAATCACGTACTGTTTTTTCCCAGAATGTTGACCTAAAAAGAACAGATTTTTCCAACAAGGTATAAACTGCATCACTGGGAAAGGTGTTGGATAATATTATTTCAAGATTAAAGGGCCACAAAACTCAATGCATATTACACTATGGGAGGTGTTTTCTGACTTTGTTTTGCCCTCATTCAGTCTTAACTGTGTTGTTTGTATCTATGCTTTTCTGTTTTACTCTGCATGCCTGTGGGGGTGACTGTTAAGGCAAAGGTTTATTTTTTATTTTAAATCTTTTTTCACACTTTTATTATTTTTTTTTTTCTTTATGTATTTTTTTTTTCCCCTTCTAAATTTCAAACAATCGCCCCAAAGCTGCACCCGGGCTTCAAGCTGACGTCTCTCTGGCCACTGAGGCTGGTGTCCCCCTGCCCGGACCACGGGGGGTTAACACGTACATTCCGTTGATCAGTAAGTAGGGAGTGGAATGTACCCTCATCCCATTTCCCAGAATCCCTCTGGCCGCTGTCCTGTCTTCCTGCTCGTTCTTGCACATGCAGTGTGTGTTACTTGCACTGGGATTTTTTTGGGCTGGGGGAGGGAAGCGGTGGCAACATTTACCTGGTAGATAAACTTTGGTCTTTCTTTGTAACATTTCAAAAATATATAAAGTGTGTCTTGCTAGTGAATGTTAAAAAACCCTTTTGTTAACTGCAGCAGATTCTCTTTGGAAGAACTCGTTGGTTAGATCTATAGTCTTTTTTTTTTTTTTTTTTATTGCTATTCGTCATTTTAGTAAAAATACCTATCTCTTTCTAGGGCCATAATATTGCTTTATGTTCAGTTCTCATTTGCATGACTTATGACTGGCCACTACATAAGCACAGAGCTGACTACATATACAAGATAAAAAGTGGGTTGGAGGGGGATGCGTTTTTAATATGTTGTCAGGCTTTGAGTGGGTTTGTAGACCTTTAGAGTTCTTCCAAGTGAATTTTCTGTTAATCTGTGTAATTTCTTTTGTGTGATTGCTCCTTTTTCTGAAGTCTGTTATTTAGCTTTTTTTTCTTTTTTTTTAATCTTGTTTGTGAGTTTTTTTTTTTGTTTTGTTTTTTTTTTTTATGTGCAGCATGAATTCTGATATGTTATGCAAGTAGGATTTTTACTTTCCTTTCCTTTCTACAGTGACTTTACAAACTCATCTCCGAGTAAATACCTTAAGCTGAAATGTATTTAACCTCTGCATCTTAAATGTGACTCATAGGGAGTACCGTAATCACTGTGCCAGTACCTGTCATGACAAAATAGGCCTGGTGCTGCAGCAGATCCCTCTCAGTGCTATGATAAAACTGTAACAATGCAATATTGAGCCAAATGCACACAGGAACTAATTTGAGTACAATGCTGACATCTATTGCACATAGCAGAAACACACAAGCAGAATATAATTGATTTTTAAAGCTTTAAAGGAACACTATAAGGTCATGAACCAAAATGTATTCCCGAACCTTTAGTATTAAAACACCATCTCCTCCCCTAAATATTGCAAATCTTACTTTTATTCCAGTCTGCTGCTGGCTCTGCCTCTGATCTTCCTCCTTGGCAGACATCATCAGAAGTGGTGGTCTGAGACCATCACAATGCTTTCACATAGGATTGGCTGAGATTGTCAAGGAGGCAGATCAGGGGCAGAGCCAGCACAGGCCAAACCCAGACCTGACCAATCAGCATGTCCTCATAGAGATGCATTGAATAAATGCATCTCTATGAGAAAAGTCCAGTGTGTCTATGCAGAGTGTGGAGACACTGAATATCAGTGCACTGCACAGCATTGCCCCAGGAACCCTTACGAGGAGTGACCAGTGGAAGTATCCATAGGCTGTAATGTAAACACTGCATTTTCTCTGAAAATACACTGTTTACTGCAAAGTACCTGAAGGGAGTGATTCTACTCACCAGAACATTGAGAATGAGATGTAGTTTTTCAGGTGACTATTGTGTCTCTTCAATTTAAATAAAACCTTGACATTTGCCATGTTAAAACAAATACCAACATGTAATAGAGTATAAAAATGTCCTTGATGGATGGGCAAGACAAATGTCTCAGGATTGGTTGACCATTCCTGCTTGCGATGGCCACACACGAACAAGCAAATTTTGCACTTTTTGAAGACCGCAGAACTGCATAGATACAGTATCTACATAGATACTGTTCTGCCAGTGCTCCCCCTATTTTGGTAAAATAAATTAAACATATTTATTCCAGCTCTGGATGAGGTTACGCAATGCAGCTCCACTTCCTGTGAAGTCAGAATTGCTGATAACTTGTGTCCAATCCGATACTTCTTAATTAAACACTCGCTACTGAAATGGGAAACGTTTACAGATGTCTACTACACAACCAGGAGGCGTTACTAAGGGGATTTATAAAAGTGCAGATTTCTCTTGAAATCTTCACTTTTACAAAATAAGACTGCAGTGACATGCAAGGCGACTGTACATTTTTCTCAATATTTGTAAATCCCTATTGATAAAAACCTCATTCTCAGTGTTTGCCAACATTTTTCACAACTCGCACACCACAAGCATCCTCCCCATAAAAATTCTCATAAAACACACACGTCCCTAATTGCACATGCAGACACCCATCACACTAAGTGAGGTTGAGGATCAATAACTATTATTTTATTTTATTATTTTTTTTAAAGGGGGGGGGAGAAACTTAGAAAGTGGCAGAAGTATAGATTAGACAGACCCAAAAAAGTGGTGATGAAAAATGTGAGATACAGTTTGAGTGGCAAACTGGAGTTTACACGTTTTGAACTGGCCTGGTAAAATTTCAGCTAGCAGTAGGTAAATTCAGATTTGTACTTTATACAAATTATCTTGATTCGTTCCTGTGTGCATTTTTTCCCCCTTCATTTTAATTCAATTATAGAACAAGCACTTGTGTAAACAAACCTTTTATGTAAATAGTCACCATGCTATTTAACACAATTTTAACTTAACTATTGCAACAGGAGAATTCCATGGTTTATTCACTAAACACTTATACTGAGTTGAAATCCAAATGACAAAATGTAGGCCAGCATAGCTTGTTTGGAAAATATTTCAACTCCACTATAGTCACAGCTTGGCTATTTTAAACCGCCATTTTGCAGTTTGGTTATCAAGATACTAAAATGTGGTGTTTAGAGAATAAACACGAATGTGTTTTTCGACAGATAATGTTCATTTTGCCATCAGAATAACTGGGCTGAAAACTATTGTTGCGATAACTACAGAAATTTCATCTTACTAACACATACTTTGACCCAAACAAAACATTTGTTTAAAGTGTAAGTCTGTTTTACGTGCCAGAAGCTGCTTCAAATTTTTACTGTCTTGATACTCTGTATTACATTGCTGGTCACCACCGACAGAACAGTGACTTAAGTCATTTGCAGCTAAAGCTGGGTCCTGCTGGTGCACTGTTGGGTAGCACCAACTTTCAAAAGTCATTTTCCTAAATTCATGATCTACACTTGAGTATTTTCTTTAGATCTATTCGCAATCCATCTTGATATTGGTATAAACAGCCCACCCTATCTACTGTCTCAGAATGTGCATGAATTCTGCCTGTAGTCACTCTCAAATTGATGCAGGTGATGGACTCAGGATATTTTAAAATGAGACGTGCATGGGAATGAAATAGTTGATGCACGTTTTAACCCACATACCACTGAATTCTGCTCTTGTCAATTAAGTGCCCATTTAAATGTAAAGCCAATTTCTACATGAGGGGTCCACTGTATATGTAAGAATATCCCTGTTTAATTACAGATAGGACAGGCCAATGAATGAATTATTTATACAATGTCTGTACCTTCTGATTAAGAATATCTTTGCAGTCACAGCCTGCTAATAGACTTGAAATCATGGTATTGCCCATCATTGTTACATGTATCATATCGGACGCTGTTTAGCACTCATCCATTATTTGCAGCAGCATGATACTCCCACGTGCCCACGCATGGCATGAAGGGGATTAGTCTTCTTTACATCTGCTTTTGGGAGATTTTATTTTATGGTTTTGTGTTTTCACATCCTATTCTAACTTTCACTCTCCTCACTGTTCCATTTTTCTTCCCTCTTTTTTTTTTTCTCTCTTCCTGATTCTGTTCCCACAGTTCCTGGCTTCCCCTACCCCACTGCAGCAGCAGCCGCCACTACAGCAGCTGCCTTCAGGGGGGCACATTTGAGGGGCCGTGGGAGGACGGTGTATGGTGCAGTACGGGCAGTGCCACCTACTGCAATCCCCACATATCCTGGGTAAGTGGAAAGAAGCAAGTGGTAACTAAAGGGAGTAAAATAGGGTCTCAGTGTCAGGAGGAGATGTAGAATGTTTACAGTAGACTGGTTGACTTAGAACATACTTTAGGAATTTGTGTGTGTACTTATTTATGTATATATATATATATATATATACACACAAACACACACACACACACACATATGTACACATTACTAAAGTATGTACTATATATAAATATATATAAAAATCTAAAGTAACACAAATAGTAGAGAGGCTGGGATAGAATTTTATTTTATTTATTTTTATGTGCATTTTAAATATATTTGTGCCTCGGTGCCACAAATATTATATAACCTATATACACGTTCAGTTATACCAGATTTATATACTTGTCACTATTCAGTGAGGAGCAAGTACTATACTGGTGAACAAAAAGTGAGCAGGAACTATTTGTAGGAAGAAGGAGCTAAATATATATATATATATATTTCTATGTTATACGGAAGACGCACTTTTTTTTTTCTGCCACTGGTGTTAGTGATCACCTGGCATGTTCTGCTGAAAAAAAAAAATTAAATCTATAATGTTTAAGTATGACAGAGAGCAATGCTGTGATTAAATGCCATCATTTTAAATTAGATGTTATCACTAGAGTCTACAAGCTACTAAAATAATTTCTGTTAGAGAGAAAAATTCTATATATAATATATACACACATACACATAATTAAAAAACTTAATGTTACTTAGCTCTGTAGTGAGCTTAGTAATTCATTTTAGAAGTGGTGGGAAATGTAAAATATTAAAGTTACTGTTAATTTACTGCAGGAACCCATATCAGTGAAAGGGTTGTCAGGATTGGGACCCACACAGTAAAATACTCTAGATGATATTATGCTCTGAGCCTTTTTGGGATGAATGAATCCAAGGTTATATGAGGCAGAGAGAGGGAGGGATAAATCATAGATGGGGGATCTGACAGGGGCTAGGTTGTGGGAGCGGGGAGGAGGCTTTTTTTTGGAGCTTGTTAATAACTGCACATTTGTGTTTGTGTGTGACCAGTCATAGCTGACACGCATGAAACTTGGCCTCATACATAATAACTGGGTGAGCAAACTCGGGTGATTGTATGAATAACCATAACTAAAGATGTAGGCATGAACTGAAAAATGCATTCATCCCCAACTGCACAAATGGACATACAATTAAGAGGAATTCATTTACATCTTCACTCCCTGGCACCAGCAAAGTATCTCTGTGCAAATGTGAATAATACACTTTTAAAACCTTTATTATTTCATACCAAGTTTGTTTTATCGCTTTCTAAATATAAATATTGTGTGGTTAAAATGTTTTTGTTAAATATACTGCTTACACAAGAAAATAGAAGTCATCTGAGCACTTAATTCTCTTTAGTGAATAACCCAGAATATCTTTGTTTTTCACTCATGAGTTGCTTGTATGATGTAGTAATGTCTGCAGTGTATCCACTTCGAAATGTGAAGGCATCATGATGTAACCAATTGGGTCATCACACATTCTCAACAGCATCACTGGAACTGAATTGAAGGTCTGCATGATTCTGTCTTATGATTGCCTGACCATGATTTGGTTGGGTAATTGGCTTTCAAGGATCACTCCAGGCACCATAACAACTTCAGCTTAATGAAGTTATGGTACCAGGAAGTCCCCGGGCACACTCAAGGGGTTAAACCGTTCTCTTACTGCTTAACCGCAAAGTTGCCAACAGTGCCGATCTCAACTCTCCCCAGGTGGCATCCAGCACATGAAATTTTCGTTTCTAGAAGCGTGGGTTGGCACCACTGATTGGTTGAGTCAGCTAACCACTCTCAGCCAATCAGTGACTCCCTATTCACAAAACTGGCTTGAAAAGAAACTTACCTTATTCCGCCAGAAGCCGGATGCCACCTGGAGGGAGTTGAGATTGGTGCTGGAGACGACTGGCATACTCTTAACCCTCAAGGGGTTAAACAGTTCTTGAATGGTTTAACCCCTTGAGGGTTAAGAGTATGCCCGTGGATCTCCTGGCACCATAACATCTTCATTGAGATTAAGTTGTTATGGTGCCTAAACTGTTCCTTTTAAGGTTTTTTTTGTTTTTGTTTTGTTCTGTTTATAATATATATATTTTTTTATATATATATTTTTTAAAAAGCTGTCCCTCCCCTGCTTACATTAGCTTAATTTGTGTTTCATATGCAGATTACCTAACCGTGTTCACTAGTGATGGATATGACGTTTACTTTGTGTACTTCAGAAATTCCTAATCTTTTCTATTTTATCAGAAATATACTTTATTAGCATGACTAATCTGCTATGCATATATAATTATATACAATTATGATATATAGTAGATTACATATCAGGGTTTGTTATTTTGACATAAAGTGTGGCATTCCCTTCTTGTGTACATGTTCACCATCTTAAATGTCACAGCTTGCATAGAATTATGTTTTTGTGTGGCTAAATTTACAATTATATGTGTAATTTATTGCATGCCCCTTTAACCCCTTAAGGATCAAACTTCTGGATTAAAAGGGGTTAAAGAATCACTATAGTGTCAGGAAAACAAACTAGTTTTCCTGACAACTATAGCATCCTTAGGTCCCCCCCACCCTCAGGGCTCTCTTCTCTTGGCGCTGAAGGGGTTAAATCCCCTTCAGCAGTTTACCTTAATCCAGCCGGGCTCCCTCGGCGCTGGTGACCTCTCCTCCCAACTAGTGGAGCGGAATGTGCATGCTCGGCAAGAGCCGCACGCGCATTCAAACAGTCCATAGGAAAGCCTTTCTCAAAGCTTTCCTATGGACGTTCTGCATGCTGGAATGCAGATTTCGCATCCAGCGTCGCAGAAGCGCCTCTAGTGGCTGTCAGGAAGACAGCCACTACAGGCTGGATTAACCCTGCAATGTAAACATAGCAGTTTCCATGAAACTGCTATGTTTACATCTCAAGGGTTTAACCCTGGGGGACCTGGCACCCAGACCACTTTATTGAAGTATAGTGGTCTGAGTGACTATAGTGTCCCTTTAACTGTGCCTTCCCTACCATTAACATTAATATTTAAAGGGGTGAGAAGCGACTTATTTTATGATATATATTATAATCTCTGTGTCCAATTTTGTTTTGGGACAAACTTCTGGAAAATAAGTTAATGGAGAAGATGGATAGGTTTTCTATAATAACACTGAATTTCTTTGAGCAGTTGAAAAACGATTCCTTCCAGTAATAAAAGAAAATTGGCAAGTGCTTTTAGTGCCTTTTTGATTTTAGAATTAAGTTATAAAGATATTCTGTTTATTTGGATTGTAGAACATAAACAATATCTGCTGGGTCCACAGTATATATCTCCCTTTTGCACTTTGATGCCTTGCTGGTGGTATGGATTGTAAAATGCAAAAAAAGTGTCACTTTTTTTTATATACATATATACAGTTATAATGTGTAAACCTTCAATCAGTCGTTCAATGTTTTTGAAATAACCAAATGATAACATGTTACTGCCTTGACTTTCTATTTTTGTCTGTTTTATACAATTCCTCATTAATTTTATTTCTTTCAAAGAAAAAATAAAAAAATTTTCTCTTTTTTTTCTTTTCTTCTATTTGGATTACTTTTTATTAACCAGAACATGGTCCCTTTGATTTATTATTTCCTAGAAGATAATCTAGGTATATAGAGGGACGACTAAGTTAGAAATACAAAATTCAAAGGTGCAACGGCTGGGGAAAAGGGGTTATTCATACATCTCTCTTGCCTGCTTATGATTTATATAGCATGATGCATGCAGCTGCTGTTAATAACCGGAATGTGTTTTGTTTTTTTGTTTTATTATCATTTTATTTCCCCCCCCCCTTTCCTGGTGTGATTCTATAGTGTGCTATATCAGGATGGATTTTATGGCACTGAATTATATGTAAGTATGCAAAGATGAACTGCAAAAAAAAAATATATAAATTTAAAAAAAAAAAATCACAATTATTTCTTAAAATCCAATCAGTTCTAATCCTGCCCTGCTTTCCGCTTCCCGTTTCCTCTTTGCCCGTGCAAGCCAGCCTTAATTCCCATCCATGTCACATCCTTTTTATTCCATTCTTTTTATTATTTCTCTTTTCTGTGTCTTAATAATTTTGTAATTGTATTTTTTATTTTGATTGTATTTTTTATTTTATGACATTTTATTTTTTGTTTTTATTTTTTTTGTTTGTAACATGGTGAAGTGTTGTGTCTGGGAATGCAGGCATGCTGTTTTTAAACACTGCTCTGGCTGTTGGAATGGTAGACTTTTGAGATTAAGGTGTTGTTATTGTGATGGCATTGGGTAGTTTTTAGTCTTTTGGGGGATGTTAACAAATGCATGCAATGGTGTTGGTCGCCTCCCCGCTGCCGTCAGACTTTCAGGATCCGCCCTGACTGGACTTTTACTCCAAAGCATCATTTTTTTTTTCCTCTACATGACTGGATTCCCAATTCATCCTGCAGGGCCAGATCAGCAGTATAGGATCAGGAGTCTAGGAATAATTTGTCTATTCTACTCCTTCAAGGAAGTTTTGGATTTATTATGTTTTTTTTTTTTTTCTAAAGGATTTTATTTTCTCTTTTGTTTAGGTTTATGTTGGTGATTTTACTGTTAATATGCCTTCCTTATCACTTCCTTTTACCTATGTTTTCTCCTAATGTGTCCCTCTTGGATTTTCTTTCTTTTTTTTTTTTTCTGTTTTTCTTTTTTGCCCAATGTTTCCTTTTCTGGCATACCCCCAGTTTCTATACTTTCTTTTATCTTGTTGCCCACGCTCCTTGCCCTTTCTTTCCCATTTTTGTTGCTTTCTTTGCTCTTCTCTGAATTTCCACACTTTCCAGTCTCCTCCTGTGATTCCTCTTGATTCATACGGTTCTCTCTGAGTGGAGGAGACAGAGACTAGACTGTATTTAGACTGTAAAATAGGTGTGCTTGCACCTACAATCCGGTGTATAACAGGCTGGCTTGCCCCCTCACAATGTTTGGCATCCGAGGGGGGCATTGAGTGAATGGGAAGAGAGGGCAGGGCCACTCTTTTGTCTAATCCGCTTCTCTCCACAGGCTTCTCGTGATGCTCTATAAATTTATGGCTTTTTTTATTCCTTTGGGTTTTTCAATGCTGTTTTTGTTCTGTTATAGACTAGTCTTACAGGAACCAATTCTAAACCCTAAACTACCTCAGGTAGGCGCCCTCCCATGTGGCCTCTCCCCCTCTCCCTCCTGCCGACCAATCAGAGTGCAGATTGCTGTGAACCAAATTAAAATTACTAACCCTTAATGAATGCCTCGTTGGAGAAGGGAACAGAGTCCACATCACCATTTAGAAAGCCAAAATTTACTACAAATGCAAGGTTGGATTGATTGGCCCCGAGACACTTAAATTTATGTGAATTAGATATATCCTGCTACTCCCTGCTTTGAAATTGTGGCAGTATTAATATGGAGATATCATAATAAAATACATTGCTCCCGTCACGCCTGCCCCCACTTGAAATAACTTTATTACAATTGTTTACTTCTCAGACATTAGTTTGTACAAACTCTAACATAGTCTTTGAGTT